TAATTCAAGGTTTTCTAGTTCTAGAATTTCAAGTCTGGTGGCATAAGGTATTCTACAACGAGTAGAAGAGTGGAGAACTCTTCTTGTGAAATATTTCTGGACTTTCTCAATTGTGCTAATATCAGATACATAATGAGGGTTCCAGACTGATGAACTGTATTCGAGTATTGGTCTAGCAAATGTTTTGTATGCTCTGGTTAGTAGTGTGATATTACCAGAGAAAAAGCTACGTAGGATTAGGTTAACAACTCTGAATGCCTTTTTGGCTATGTAGTTGCAGTGGGCTCTAGCACTTAGATCATTAGAGGTAAGTATTCCAAGGTCCTTTACAGAGCTTGGGTCATCAACAAGATCTTGACTATTCAGCTTGTATTTTATTTTCTGATTTTTTTTGCCAATATGTAAGACAGAGCATTTATTTGTTGAGATTTGAAGTTGCCATTTGTTTGACCATTCAGATACATAGTCAAGATCTTTTTGTAGGGTAGCAGTATTGTCTGTGGTATTGAACAGCTTTACTGTTTTTTTTTTTACTGTTTGCATTTCTTGGATCTTGTTACTTAACATCATTTTTATTACATATCACAATTAATTGATTTTCTCCTTGCTCCATAGTAGGTAGCACTGCTTGAATGTAAGTGTAAAGTAGGAAAATGGCCTTAAGAGAGAGGATAACTTGGCAAATAAGCATGCTTCATCAAATGAAAACATTATAATGGTCATATTATTTGTATTTATGACCTCAAATAACAACCTACTAAGAAAATGCTCTCCTTCTCTCTCTCTCTCTCTCTTTACACGCAGGCATAAGCACAAAAGAATGGTGTTGTTTTCAGTATGTTTAATTAACTATGGGAATTATTATATAAATTACATGAGCATTATAAAGCTGAGGCAGACAGGCAAATAGGGAGAGGGCATGAGAAAGAGAGGGCAACCATTTAAATTTCACAGAAAAATCTGTTCGGAATCAGAACTATGAATGTGAACTTTTCAATGTGTTTATTGAAGAAAATAGGCTTCCTCTTCCTCCATGTTGGGACATAGCATCTTGAGATAGGATATTGAGCGATCGTAAAAGGCATTTGTTTTATAACAAATCTTCCCTGGAATGGGAATTAGAATCACATACCTTTTTAAAGGGCTCAGAAGCTACAAAAAGGATATAAGTACACAGTGGTTTATTAAGAATGCTCTCTGGCCTTAGCACTTCTCCAAATAGGCACAATACAGTATAGACTAATACTTATTTCAAATATAGATGCCAAAGATATGACAATTTCAGTTTTGAAGGGATTCTGCACACTGCAGAACTTACTTATAATTGCTGTAATACTGAAGGTAATAGTTCTGAAACACAAATAAGCATCTAAGATACTGTTCTCAGAAGTACACACATACACAATAGAGTCAAATTGCTGTTTTAGAGTCTAAAATCTGTTATAGATATGTAACAAAAAAGGCAAAAATGATGCCAAAAATTATGTGATCCAATGGCAAAGAAGGAATTGTTAATTAGAACAGTAAGAGTACAATATTTTGTAATGGACTTAATGGACTTTATTTACCAGATATTGGGTGCCTGAAGTAAACATGAGTAAAATCCCATTTAGATGTAACATTTTTAGATGTGACATTTTTTTTCAGCATACACATTGGTCCGTTACTCAAAATTTAAAAATATTTTATTCCATAGTTAGAATGCAGTTTGAAAGAAATCCTAAATTTAGGTTCAGTGCTTTTAGGTTTATTTTACCCATGACTGATGGGTAAAAATCTTTGAAAAAACTTATTAGATATTAGTGTCATGCAGCTTTTTCATTCAAAATAGTGATCAGAGTTCAAGTTGGATAAAATACAGCTGAAATAAACATTAGCAGGTGCTACTGAAATCTCCAAAGCATTATTTTAAAAAATGCAGTCACTATTTTTTCAGTAGTGACCACTGATTGTTCAAAATCTTCATGGAAAATATAGTACTTTATAACCTTTCTAATAGTGTTACCAGATCTGGCCTGCAAAAAGTTAGTTAGTTAATACAAAAATGCATCAAAAAGAACCAGTAACATTAAGTCTTCATGATCATCTGAATTTTTGTAGTCCACATTTGAAACCAACCTTGTAATTGTTTTAAATGGAAATAGACTGAGCAGTGTCCATTTTAGAGATTAGGAATTTATTTTAGATTAATCACAATACAGTTAAAGAAAAAACAGAATAAACGACTAATTTAATTTCTGCTAGTGTTACTGAAGCTAGTTTGGTGTAGTGGTTAAGGTGCTGGCCTAGAAACTAGGAGACTGAACTTAAGGTCTGCCTTAGGAAGGAAAGCCAGCTAGGTGACTATCAGCCAATCACTGTCTCTTAGCCCAACCCACCTCACAGAGTTGTTGATTGTGTGTGGGGGGAAATAGGGTTTAGGACTATTAGGCACCGGTATGTTCACTGATTTCAGTTGAAGTTGAGGAGGGGAAGGAGGGAGGGAGAGATTGTTAAAAATGTTATCATCATCCTGTGGAATATCTTTAACATCATCTAACAATATAGGTGGATAAAAATACCAAATTGAGTCTATACACCTAAACATCTGACTGATTGTGTGACGAACCTTCATAAAAGAAGTAAAGACAAACTGAACTGTGACAATACCATCAAAACCATAAATACCTGTGTTATGATATATACAAAATAACCCTTGAGTAACAAGGATATGCACATGGAAACATGTGATCTCGAAAAAATATATCAGAATAATGCACCATCCAAAACATATTGCCAGAATAGAATATCCACACTGCCTCTGCCATACTGTGATTTTGTACTCAAAATTATTGTTTATTTATTAAGTAAAAATAATTTCAGAAGTTTGAAAAAGCACCATATTTTTCATTTAATTGTGGGGTATTCAGAATTTCCATAGAGAAGGTCCCCAATAGCAGCTACATTGTTGAACATTAGATCAACAGTAGAGACCTTCAAATTTCTAGGTTCTACTATATCACATGACCTAAAATAGACACCTAACATCAAAAACGTCATCAAAAAAGCACAATAAAGAATGTTCTTTCTGCGCTAACTCAGAAAGCTCAAACTGCCCAAGGAGCTGCTGATACAGTTCTACAGAGGAATTACTGAGTCTATCATCTGCACCTCTATAACTGTCCGGTTTGGTTCTGCAACCCAACAGGACAGACATAGACTTCAGAGGATAATTAGGACTGCAGAAAAAACAATTACTACCCACCTGCCTTCAATCGAGGACCTGTATACTGCACGAGTCAAAAAGAGGGCTGTGAAAATATTTACAGACCCCTCACATCCCGGACATAAACTGTTTCAACTCCTCCCCTCAAAACGACCCTACAGAGCACTGCACACCAGAACAACTAGACACAAAAACAGTTTTTCCCAAAAGCCATCACTCTGCTAAACAAATAATACCCTCAACACTTCAACTATTTACAAAGTGTGCACTATTATTACTGTTAATCTTCCCATCACTCCTTATCACCCATCCCCTCCCACTTGTGATTGTAGGACTGTAACTTTGTTGCTTGTATCCTTACGATTTATATTGACTGTTTTCTAGTATGATTTGATTGCTGATTGTACCCTATGACTATCATTATGTGTTGTATGTTATGATTCTTGATTCTTAACAAATGTATCTTTTCTTTATGTATGCTGAGAGTATTTATACCAAGACAAATTCCTTGTGTGTCCAATCACACTTGGCCAATAAAAGTATTCTATTCTAGATATACAAATATGATCCTCTCCAGAAATCTTAAGACCAACTTCCAAAATTCCCAAGACAGTTATGTTAAGTTTATTGGGAATTCTGAGATTCATGGTCACAATTCTGGAAAATACCATATTTTCCTACAAAGTTCTATTTGTCATAATTGACACAAAAGTAAACCATATGATGTTATGACATTGATTTTATTGTGGTAGTTCTAACAGCTAAATGAATAGCAATCTTTAAAATTCTACCATTGTGCTAATATTCTGATTGCTTTAAAAATGCAGGCACAAGCCTGAGCATTACACGGATGTCTCAAAAGAACAGAAAACTGTTCTGAGTTTCAAGTGTGCTCATCGCTAAATTACAAAATCAACTTGACAAAGGACATTTTAAAACATCATTAAAAGGCTAATTATGCAATGCCAACCAACTTCCTTTTGTCTCGTATGAAAGGGAAGCTTCTTACTTTACCAGGGTGAATATAATCGTCTATGAATTATAAGATCAAAGAAGCAAACTGGATGTTTTCTAAAGTAAGAATTCCTTCACCAAGTTTTACCCTTACCACAGCTAAAAGAGCTGTGAAAGGGATCAGCACTAAACCCGAAGGACAGGCTGTGCAAAGCAAGAAAGAGAGCAACTCCCCCGTGCTTTTTGCAGGTCACTCTGAAGGCCCATGTTAGCAGATCTACTCCAGACCCTTAACAGGCGGCTTTGCTGCTACCAGTAATTAGCTTGGACAGCTCTGGCTCCAAGAGTAGCAGCAAGACTACATCATAATGAGCTCAGCTGGGATTAGTAAGGACAGGGCAAGGAACCAAGAGAGCTGAGGCATTCTGCATTGCGTATGTATCAAGGAGATCAAACAAGGATGGCTGGCTAGGTTATCCCCTTACCACCTCACTCCAAAAATGAAGCACAGCAGTGTGTAAAATACAGGCTAATGAAGAGCGACACCTCCAACAGATGAGAGCCACATTAATTAACACAATCCCTAGCTCATGCAATACTGTTTCATTTAGTGCTAGCAAACTTATTGTTACTGATTTAAGGGTGGGATACGGAAGGAGGGGGCACAGGAAGAGGCTAATGTTTTGCTTCCCTGTTTCTGGTAGAGAAAGATGATTTAATTTTGGGTACGTGAAAGGAATTCTCTGTTTGGCCCTCAGGTCTCTACAAGGAGAAGATAAGCATATCAACCCCACATTTCTAAATGTATATATGTACTTTGAAATAAAATAAAAAGACTCACTTTTCAATCAACAGCTTCTTGTGTTCTTTTTTAAAGTATGCCAGTTCATTCCATACTGCATCAGAATTTTCTTGACGCAGATGCTGCGGATCTGAACGCTCTTTTCCATTCTTATTGTTTCCAGGCCTGTAAATTTAAGAAAACAATGTTCTGTGAAATAAATCACTTTTAAATGCCAAGTTAAAACAAAAGCAAAGCTTCAGCACTTGATATTGCTACATTTAGTGAAATTATTAAAGCTCTCCTAAATGTTGTTCTAAGTAAATAAATCTTAAAGATGACAAATTGGAGGTGGGGTGCCACACGAGACTTGATGTGTTTCTGATGATAGTGTAATCTCTCTCATTTAATTAAATGAGACAAATAAAAGATAAAGATGTCATTCTGTCTTAGGGAAAGGTTTAGCATTATGGTTACAAACAATTTTTTAACTGAAGCAAACTCCTGAACAAAAAATGTAAATTTGTCTTATAGCAGAATACTAAATACTTTAGAATCCTATATTAAAACAGAGAAATAAAGCGGAGGAGGAAGATGGTTATTAGGAAAATGCAAGTAAAGAGATTTTTTTCTACAGATTAAGAAAAAAATGCAAAAATACCTACTGACCTGCAGAACTGAAAGCTGAAAAAAATCAGTGAAATGGTAAAATCTGAATGATTTAAAAAGTCGCTACTTGGAAAGCCAAATAGTTATAATAGTTACAGATAACTCGGAAAACAAGGTAGAGATTATTTGGATGAAGAAAATTGTTGTAGCAGCAACGGCCAGAGATATTGCAAATCAATAATAAAAAAGGTTATGGTATTAACGGCTCACATGCTTAGAATTTGGATCACATTGAATGAGTCAAGTTAACTGAAATTTGACAATAGAGTTGGGTGAAGGAACTCATAGTGAAGATCCTTAACAATTTCCTCTAGAAATAGACAAAACAAATTCAACCTAGTTGACAATAAGAAAAAAATAATGTAGTATCCATAAAGTATAGGAAACAGATGGAGCTCTGCAATCATTACTTTGAACACTTTTACTACCTAAAACAACGAACTGTACATGGGAAGCAAATGGAAAGATAGTGATGTGCCTGAGAAAAACAAGTGCTACTACCACAAGTCTGTCAATTTTAAAGCTAGCATATTGAAATGGAATCCAATGTTGTGAAAACAGATATTTAACAATTATGCATCAATTCTTTTTTTAAAAAATATGATATTTAACACACTATCTGGTTGATAGTCAAAATAGGGCAATTCTAAGTTGTTTAACTAATTAAAATCAAATATGAAATTATTTGGATGGCATTGAACAAAGTTTTATCTTTCAGTCAGTTCTATCAAGGCTACAGAATTGTTAATGTAAAATTACGTAAGATCTGTATATCTCCTTAGTACCAGTTTTCTGCTTGAGAATAGTTCAATAGTTTTAAGTGCTTCTCAGTAGCATGCAGCCACTTCTTGTTTAACGTTTTTTTTCTGACAGTGATCATTCACAAATATGATGGTAATAAGTGGTAATAAAACATTCATTTTCCAACCAATGTGCTTTATGTGGTTTATGACCAAATTTTGTGCACCTGGCAACAAAAGTCTTCAGTGTGAAAAAGATTAAGGTCTGGTAAGGTAGCAGTGAGAGCTAGCTGGAAGTATCCAATCAACTAAGGGGAAAAACTGGGTCACGAATAGGACCTCATAAGAAATAATTTTGTCTGAATGAGAGCAGCAACCAACAATCTTTGCTCGCTCGCTCTCCCTCTCTCCCTCCCCCTCCCCCCCTCTCTCTCACACACACTGACTTAACTATCATTTTGTTTAACAGCAAAATTGCTAGAATGGATTGCTGATTACTGCAACGAAATTGTTATATGTATGTACAGAGATGGAGAGATCCAACTTGGTCCGCTATATAAGCATGGTGAAATTTAGAGATCTTGCTGAGGTGGATAAACAAACTTTTTTATTATGATCTACATTTATTGGTAAATGGAAATCTTTTATGGAGTTTTTGCATAAAAATAAAAAAATGAACTTCTGATTTATTGCTCATGATGTAACTTAGAGAGAGGTTAAAATGTAACTGTACTTATAACTTCTGCAAAGAATATCGAAAGCTACTTTTTTGCATCTTTTCTTGCATTTTTTTGCTTCATTTTGTTCCCTTTTCTTCCTTACTTTATTATTTTGCATCAATTTTTAATCATATATATATATATATAT